TATGGTGTTGGAGAAAAATATTGAAAGTGCCACGGGCTGCCAAAAGAACCAATAGATCCGTTTTGGAAGAGGTGCAGCCAGAGTGCTCCTTGGAAGCCAAGATGGCCAAACTTTGTCTCTCATACTTTGGACATATTGTCAGGAGGGACCAGTTGCTGGAGAAGGATATCATATTTGGTAAGGTGGAGGGTCCGAGAAAAAGAGGAAGACCCCCAACAAGATGGATTGGCCATGTGGCAGCACTGATGGACTCAAGCGTGGCAACAGTAGTGAGTTTGGCCCAGGATCAGGCAGTGTTTCATTTTGCTGTGCATAAGGTCGCTATGAGTGGGTATTGACTTGATGGCACTTCACAATAACAACAATGCTGTGCAACCACCATCATTTTTAGTTTCAAATGCCAAAAGAACGTTTTGTGAACTTTAGTTTTAGGCGTGAATACCTTCCTTTACTAGGACACCAGGCATGAATAGTCACACACATGGGACTTAACACTATCACAAAAATGAGCATAGGCTTAAGGTATAAAATAAATGAGGGATTGGGCCTAGGAGACATAAATCAAATTCTACCTTTTGATGGCTTCTCTCAAGACTGCTGGCCTAATGGGTAATCAGGGGATTTCAACTTCAGTAATACAGTAACTGTCCCATCTGAATGAATATCATTTTTCCTTAAAATATTGATGATAGAGACTAAGTCTTATACATCTTGGTATTCCCAATGCCCAACACCATGAATTGCATCTATTACATATGAAACAACTGCTTTCTGATTAGAATTGAATGTGCTAGGTGCACTTTGCTTAGTGAATATGGAGGGCTGTGAGAAGAGAAGGAAAATGGGAATTTCAGAGCCCTGGTGGCAAACTGGTTAAACTTTCAGCCACTAACTGGTTGACAATTTGAACCCATACAGTGGCTCTGGGGAAAAAGACTTGGTGATCTTTTCCATTGAAGATTGTTGTTGTTAAGTACTGTCAAGTTGAATCCGACTCATAATGACTCAATACAGTGTTTCTGAGGAGCAGCTGGTGGGTATGAACTGCTGATCTTTTAGTTTGCAGTCTAGTGCTTATCCTATAGCACCACACCAGGAGCCTAGAAAATCAAAATCCTGTGTGGCAGTCCTACTCTGCACATGGGGTTGCGATGAGTCAAAATTGATTCAATGACACCTAATAATTACAACATGGATTTAGAACTAGATCATTCTTGAAAAGAGTTTACAAAGTAGAATTTCCCCCAAACTCAGGGAAAGCAGGTGGGTATGCATACCATAGAACTTTCCATTAATAGAACACTTGTTAAAAATCATGATGTTCTGTGTCAGGGTCCCTGTTTTGTCAGAAAACACGTATTTGACCTGGCCAAGCTCCTCATTAAGGGTGGTGGTGCGAGCCTGTGCTGGTGTATTCCTTGGAGCACAAAACATCTTCTGATCCCAGTTGATATAGTAACTGTTGCCCAATCTTATGATCTCAACACTAAGGTGAAAACAAGAAGAGAAGAGACCTGGGTTAGAGTAGAACAAACAATTTTTCTGGTTTCTTTCTTATCAGTTCTGAAAATCAGAGTATCTATTTTACTGGGAAGCATCTGAAACTCAGAGCATCTCTATTATTGGGAAACTACCCAACTATCCACCACTTGTCTGTCAGTTTGTCATACTGTAGTGATTTGTATGTGGCTGTGGTGTTGGAAGCTATGCCACTGGTATTTCAAATACCAACAGGTGCACCATGGTGGACAGGTTTCATGCAGAGCTTCCAGATTAAGACAGCCTGAGAAGAAGGACCTGGTGATCTACTTCTAAAACAACTGTCCAATAAAAGCCTTATTAGTAGCAACAGTATATTGTCTGATATAATGCTGGAATATGAGCCCTTTAAAGTAGAAGGCACTCAAAATGTGACTGGAGAAAAGCTGCCTCTTCAAAGTGAGTCAATATTAATGACATGGATGGACTAAAGCTTTTGGGAACCTTCATTTTCTGATATTGCATGGCTCAAAATGAGAAGATTCAAAATGAGAAGAAACAGCTACAAATGTCCATTAATAATTAGAACATGGAATGTATAAAATATGAATCTAGGAAAATTGCAAGTCATCAAAAACAGAGTGGAACGCACAAAGATCAATATCCTGGGCATTAATGAGCTTAACTGGACTAGTGTTGGCCATTTTGAGTCAGCCAGTCACACATCCTACTATGCTGGGAATGACAAATTGAAGAGGCATGGCACTACATTCATTGTCAAAAAGAACATTTCAAGATTTATCCTGAAGTACAATGCTGTCAGAGATAGAATAATATCCATATATCTAAAAGGATTAACAGCTGATATGACTATTATTCAAATTTACTCACCAACCACAAATGCCAAACATAAAGAAACTGATGATTCTACCAACTTCTACAGTCTGAAACTGATCTACTTGCAGTCAAGATGCAATGATAATCATTGGTGATCGGAATGGGAAAGTTGGAAACAAAGAGGGATTATTAGTTAGAAAATATAGTCTTGGTGACAGAAATAATGGGAGATTGCATAATAGCATTTTGTAAAACCAACAGCTTCTTCAAATACCCATTTTTTAAAAGCTTTCATTGTGAACTGAGTGACAGTTTACATGGCAAAACATTGGTTTGGCACTCAACCAATTGAATTTTGTTTCATTGCAATGATTATAATTCCCTCCATGCATCATCAGTTAACAGTATTTACCAGTTAACAGTATTCCTTCCTTTTTTTTCTTTTTTTTGATGTACACAAAAACAGTCAGGAATACATAATCATTTAAATAACCAAAGGGCACATTTTGCAAACTAGCCCCAGCCTGCCAGCACACAGCCTTTCTCTTTCCATGAGTTTAGAGTCCTCAGATGCTCTTTCTTTCCATGCCAGCACCTCTACCTCTAGAGCCACTGCTCCTCTGGTTAGGATCCCATGTTCTGCTCATGCTCTTCCCTCTTCATGTTCTAGGGTCTCTGTTCTTGGAATGTAGGATTAACTACTACTACCCTTTTTTATGCAACTTCTACATTTACAGTTGTGACAACTGCAATTAGTCATAACAATTACTTACTATTGAATCAAAAGAATCCTATCCCATCTCCTTTCACCAGACCCATCTTGACAAGATAAAAACTATTCAGTAGGGATTCTACCTTCCCCCCATTGCTCTGAAACTAAACTCCCTCTTGGAAACTTGTAAGTCAGCCACTTTGTGCCTTTATAACCCCCCCATTTTAGGTAGCCAATGTCTAAGTTGCCTGTCCCTATCAACTCTGCGTACTGAGGAGATAGGTTTGATCCTTGATTTGAAGACGCATTCCCTCTCAGTTGATATCTTGAGCTACTATATCTATAAGTAAAGGTCAAGTTCATTAAATTGTAGCAATTTACACTTGCTTCCTGTATCAAATTTCTTTATCTTCCTCTAGTTGAGTTCTGATCAGTAAGCCATCAAAACTAGGTCAAATGGGTACTATCTGCAAGTTTGGGTGTTCTTGAGCACCTCCCCCTGCTTCAAATCAGCTGGATGTGTCACGCCCAGCTCTAGCCCCCAGTAGCTAGGTCATTATCCATAGGCTCAGGTGTTCCCAAGTTTCCCCAAACTTCAGGCCGACCAGTCCTTCCTCCTCTCTCTCTCATCTCAAGGTCGACAGGAGTCAATGGAACAGGAAATACACATTTTTTCAAATACCTTTTTTCAACAACATAAATGATGACTATGTACATGTGAACCTTGCCTGATAGAATACACAAAAATCAAATATACTACATCTGTGTAAAGAGATAATGGAGAAGATCAATATCAGTCAGAATAAGGCAAGGAGCCGACTGCAGAACAAACCATCAACTGCTGATTTGTAAATTCAAGTTAAAGCTGAAGTAAATGAAAGCAAGTCCATGAGCGCCATAATATGATCTTGAGTATTTGTTGTTGTTGTAAGTATCACTGAGTTGGTGCCAACTCATAGCAACTCCCTGTATATGATTTCAAGGGAGAGCTGTTGGGTTTGAACCACCATCCTTGTAGCTAGCAGTCCAGTGCTTTTCCTGTAGCATCACACCAGGTCCTTGAATAGCCCACCTGAATTCAGAGACTATCACTGGAATAGATTTAACACAGTGAACAATAAGGTATAAAGACCATGCAATTTGCAGGATGACTGACATCAAAGACATCATCATACATGAAGAAAGCAAAAGGTCATTAAAAAGACAGGAAATAAAGAAAAGACCAAAAATAGATGTCAGAAGAGACTCTGAACCCTGTTCTTGAATATTGAGCAGCTAGAGCAAATGGAAGAAAATTTGAAGTGAAAGAGCTAAATAAAATATTTCAAAGAGCAGCTCGAGAAATTCAAGCTGGATTCAGAAGAGGATATAGAGTGAGAAATATCATTGCTGATGTCAGATGGATCTTGGCTGAAAGTACAAAATACAAGAAGATGTTTACCTGTGTTTTACTGACTACACAAAGCATTCAACTGAATGAATGAATAACATTGTGAAGGATGGGAATTCCAGAACAGTTAATTGTGCTCAAGAGGAACCTATTCACAGACTAAGAGACAGTCGTTCTAATTGAAAAATGAAATATTCTGTGGTTTAAAATCAGGAAAGGTGTGCACTAGAACTGTATTCTTTCACCATACTTATTCAATCTGTATGCTGAGCAAATAATCAGAGAAGCTGGACTATATGAAGAAGAATGTTGTGGTTGTTGTTGTGTGCCATGGAGTCGGTTCTGACTCATAGCGAAAGAAGAATAG